TCCAAAGGGTTAGTGCTACCTGTTCCAGGCACGAGAAGCCTGAACCCCAATGACATGAGCTCAAATCTATTGTACAATAACCAACTAAATTATCTACCCCGTCAGCAATTTTTGTCAAGCAGTGGATCAGTGGAATCTCAAGGAACTAAACAGGGAAATGGTTTGTGGAGTATATCAGCTACATCTCCATCACTGGCCCCAGCGTCTTCCCTTGGACTGTTCTCTGGACTTGGCACCAATGGCTCGTCTAGTTCTTCATACCTGGTAGACTGGAAAACAGGCAGCTCAACCTTGCAGTTAGATTACACCAACATAGACTGGAGTTTGGATAGGGCGTCGTCTATGTCTAGGCCTGGAGGGTTCTGGCCTAGTGAGAATGCCTTTAGGGGAAACAGTACACGTGCTTATGATTTGATTACTTCTGGTCAAGGCATCAAGACTGCTATAAGACCCGTTCTGTCCAATGGAAATAGTGATTTTATTCCTGGGTTACAGGACACGGTAGCTTCTTCCCAAACGACTGCTGGTGGCTCTCGAGAATGGACTTCTCCTTTTGAAGAGAGAGACATTTTCAGTTTACCCAGACATTATGTTTCCTCTCCTTCTCAGTGAGATGAGTAGAGGACTAGAGAGAATAAAGAAAAAAAGACCAGATAAATATGCTTGGATTTCGTGTTGGTTGGATAATCTGATACTTTTTACTGTTGATATGTTTTATGGACAACCTTAGTAGAAAGTAAATGACTCTTTGTTCTTTCTTTAGTTATTTAGGGTTTGTTCGGTAGTGATTATGAGAATTGATTATATGACCATTAAAAAAAAAAGTTAATCTCATTTGTCAGGGAAAAAGTAAAAAATGAGAGCTCAAATGGTGGAATAACAATAAAAAATAATAAAAAAGATTGATTTTTTGGGATAAAAAATTGCTACCAAACAAGGGCGTAATCATTTTGCAGTCATCATTCCCAAAGCAGTCTTCTCTCTATACGGAATAGGTAATGCCATTGGACATAAAATCATTTAGATCTCCGAATAGATCTAACCGAATGAACCAGAAAATAGTTCAACTAGCCAATTCTTATTGAATTGACAACATCCCATAGTTTGTTGTTAAATAGGAAATCTTCATCATCCTAACCAATTCAGAGAGTATATTGACAGGGGTATAACCGAATCAATATGAAAGCTATGAATTTCAACTAAATTATAAATTAGAAATGTTGGTGCTCACTAAAAATGCACTAAAATTTCAACCGAGTTGCCCCAATTTCCACACAGACTACCATATCAGCTTGTCATTAGCAATTAACAACCACTCGAGACTTCACAGATAGTTTTACTAACAGAAATAAATAAAATAATAATGTTATTCATCATGAATACTATTGACAGTCGCCCTGCGTGATATATATACATGACAGCATATGTCACGTAGGGCGATTATCGGTAG